GAGTGTGTGTGTGAGAGTGTGTGTGTGAGTGTGAGAGAGAGTGAGTGTGTGAGAGTGTGAGAGAGTGTGTGTGTGAGAGAGTGTGAGAGAGAGTGTGAGAGAGTGTGTGTGTGAGTGTGAGAGAGTGTGTGTGTGTGAGAGAGTGTGAGAGAGTGTGTGTGTGAGAGTGTGTGTGAGTGTGAGAGAGTGTGTGTGTGTGAGAGAGTGTGAGAGTGTGTGTGAGAGTGTGAGAGAGTGTGTGTGTGTGTGAGAGTGTGAGAGAGGGTGTGTGTGAGAGTGTGAGAGAGAGTGAGAGTGTGTGAGAGAGTGTGTGTGTGAGTGTGTGTGAGAGTGTGTGTGTGAGGGTGTGTGTGTGTGGGGAGCGGTGGTGCAGTGGTTAGCGCTATGCTGCGCTATGAACCCGGCGACACGGGTTCGATTCCCGCTCACGGCCAACACCAGTGACGATTATCTGAACCGGTCCCGGGCCTCCCGTAGGTCGACTCAGCCTCAAATGAGTACCTGGCGCGGTGTGTAAACATTGCCACTGGGGATACAAAGGCGGTCGGGCGTGGTGCTGGCCACCCACCCCCTCGTGTGCCGTTGCGGCCTTCATAGGTGCTCGCTAATAGCACTTGCCCCTACAGTCTGTTAAGGCTATACGGGGGATCTTTGTGTGTGTGAGAGTGTGTGTGAGAGTATGTGTGTGTGTGCGAGTGTGTGAGAGTGTGAGAGAGTGTGAGAGAGTGTGTGTGTATGTGAGAGTGTGACTGAGAGTCTGTGTGTGAGAGAGTGTATGTGTGTGAGAGTGTGAGAGAGGGTGCAAAACGTGGACCCCCTTAATGGCCGGTTAGAAACATTTTGGCTGGCCTGCCTACGATCCATCTTGGGTTTAACCAGGCTGGATTGTGTGAGGAGCTCACAAATCCTTGAAAGATCTGGGCAAGGTCCCATCGATGAGCTCCTCTGGCAGGCAAGGCTGCATTGGCTGGGTCATGTAGCCCACATGCCCAGCCACCGCATGCCTAAACAGCTTTTGTTCGGCCGGATCGAGGGGGCTTAACGGGCGCGGTACGGGCTAGAGAGGAGATGGAGTGATGTGGTACAGGAGGACGTAGAGCTGAGTGGACTTGCCGATGACTGGTACCAGATCGGCCTCAGTGGAGGAGGTTCGTGAAGGACGCTACTGGGCAGTTGGAGGCAGTCGCCCTCCAAAAACAACAGAAGGCGGAGAAAGCGACGCTCACAACAACGAGCTGAGTGCCGGGTGGATAAAGCACAGCAAGTTGGCACAGAAGGGGGCACAGGTGGTGCATCAGCCAGTCATCTCGGTCATCTCAGTCGACCCGTGGCACCTGGGTCTGCCCCCGTGACCTGCCAGCGGGGGGTTGGACACTTCACGTGGCCTCAAGGTGCACATGGCCTGGCACAGGCGTCGTGGTGACGTCACCGCCACTTAGTGGCGAATGGCGGTTTTTGTTGTTGTGTGACCGTGTGTGTGTGAGAGAGTGTGCGCGCGTAGGATGATCTGACTCGATTCTGAGCCTCGCCTAGGTCCACTCGGCCTCAAAATAAGTACCTGGTGCGGTGCGTGGTAAACATCGCCACTGGGGAGACAAAGGCGGCCGGGTGCGGTGCTGACCAACCAGCTCCTCGTGCGCCGTGTCGGCCTTCAGAGGTGCTCCTTAACAGCACTTGCCCCAAGAGTCCGCAAAGGCTACACGGGGGATCTTTGTCTTTGCGAGAGAGAGATCTGGACCCATTGCCATCGTTGCCTGGGTCACGTGGCCCGCATGCCCAGCCACCACGTGCCCCAGCGGCCTCGGTTTGGCCGCATAGAGAGGGGGGGGGGTGGTGGGATAGGTGGTGGGGGGGGGGGTGGTGGTGGTGGAGGGGTGGTGGGGAGTGGCGGTGTTGGCGGATGGTGGTGGCGGGGTGGTAGTGGTGGGGGAGGGGGCGTGGTGGGGGGTAGTTGTGGGGTGCGTGGGTGGTGGGGGGTAGTTGTGGTGGGGGGTAGTTAGTGGTGAGGGGTAGTTGTGGTGGGGGGTAGTTGTGGGTAATGGTGGGGGGTAGTTGTGGGGTGGGTAATGGTGGGGGGGGGGGTGGTGGGGGGGTGGTGGGGGGGGGGTGGTGGTGTGTTGGGGGGGGGCGGTGGGGGGTAGTTGTGGGGTGGGTGGGTGGAGGGGGTGGTGGGGGGGTAGTTGTGGTGGGGGGTAGTTGTGGTGGGGGGTAGTTGTGGGGTGGCTGGTGGGGGGTAGTTGTGGGGTAGTTGTGGTGGGGGGTAGTTGTAGTGGGGGGGGGGGGGGGAGTTGTGGTGGGGTGTAGTTGTGGTGAGGGGTAGTTGTGGGGTAGTTGTGGTGGGGTGGCTGGATTCAAGAACATTCCCCCCTCCATTGTTTCACCAACTCCCGCACCGGGAGCTGGAGTCGAACCTGCGAGTGCCACCTCAGCACCTCCGTGGCAGAATGTCCGAAACTCGAACCCACGGGACAGATGTCCGTGGCACGTTCCCTGTCTTTAG